CGATCGGCGATAGCTAATATGGAAATGTGTCGTGTTTTCAAGAGAGAGAGAGAGAGAGAGAGAGAGAGAGAGAGAGAGAGGGAGAGAGAGAGAGAGAGAGAGAGAAATAGATAAAAAGCGATAGAGATGGAGAGATAGAAAAGGTGATATGACACCAAAATTAATTGTAAACGAGATGCGGCAAAAACACACAAACATACACACACACACTCACAGTCATGAGATAAAAATGGCAAAAGCGAACATAACTGTTTAAATCAGACATTATCTGGCGTACTCTTTCGTGTTCTCACCATTTTACACTCTCGAGACACTTTGTTGAATGGCCAATTCAAACAAATATCCGAATCAAATCCAAACGAGTTCGAATCGATTTTTAGAATAAACAACGATTTTACATTAAGCATCGTTATCGCCAAGTGAGAAAAAAAAAATCACTTCGAACAAGACTGAACCATTTTGAAGAGTGAGAATAGAATTCCCAAACGATTCTTGTGAACAAAAATCATGAATTCACAATACGAATTGTGTATTGTAACGCTACTCGAAAATTGTACGGCGCATATGACCGAATTGACTTTTTCTCCTTTGTGCTCAACCTCAAACTCCGTAGACAAACTTAATTAGTTTCTTTTATATCCGGCGACAAATATATTTTCGGCACAAGATTTATGCGGCGAGAATATTTTTGATATATTATTTTGTCGGCGTTTATGGTTGAAAAAGTGGTTCGGATATGTATGCAAACAAATTGAGTATGCACCATTCGCAACTGTTTTTGATGGTGCTTGTTTTGAATTTGTAGAGGGTGACTCTTCTGTTGCACGACCCCATTTGCACGATATGCCTACGACACAAGCATGATTCATACGACCGTAACGGCGGTGATTCGCACAACGTCAACTAACAAAGAATTGCATTGCTCGCGTACAAACATACACATAAGATCCGACCTCAATACGTCGACCATCTCGCATATAATATCCGATTTCACACACCTAATCTTCTTTCATTCATCGAGGCCTGTTTGTGCTTCATTTGTTCGTCTTCATTTGTTTTATTTTTTGTTGCTTCAATTTGGATCGTTGATTTTCGATTAATGTGTAAATATGTCTAAACAAACTGAACAGAAACGATTCCTTAGCCCAGCAACATTCATTGCCTGCATTTCAAGGCGTATGCACCATCGATTTATTTCCTCGCACAAAATTGGGGCGTTTGAAATGTAATTTCGATGGATATTTACAATTACTTCGGGCCCCTTTTGTGGTTTGATGGAGGAGGGGAGAGCGATAGAGAGAAAAGGGCATATTTGATGACGATTGATTTGGATGCTTTAATCGTCTTTAGTGTGTGCATAAACCGAAGACAACTCATCAATGAGGGTGTGCAATTGCTACATTGGTGATGTGGCCATGATAAATTGATAAATATCAAGAAAATATCGCAATTGCGTTTTAGCAAACATTAAGCCTATTAGCCCAAGCAAAACTGAACAAACATCAGCACACCATTCACGAATGTCAAACACATTTTCGCATTACGCATAGAAGATGCGCTCGGGGCCAATTTTGGCGAGTCTGTTTATGTTTGCACCAGACGGAAAATATGATTGACTTTTGGGCTGAAGAAAAACACAAGCTGAACTGCTTGTGCCAAAGCGCATAAGAACACGAAAAATCAACACGGAGAACACTGAAATGCGAACTAATTTCATTCATTGTTCCAACAAGAAGAATGGTGTTTGTTCTCTGATTTTTGACTTGTTTGTCGCTCGTGAAATTATGACGAATGACATCAAAAGCCGAAATAGAAATGGAAATCGAAAGAAATGAAAAATTTGGGTTTTCATGTTGAATGAACGTAAACTGTAGTTTGACCGCAAACACGACGCAAAAAAAGCGACAAGAGAAATGACTCATTGCAATGAGTCTATTCTAAATGAAACTGCATTCAATTAAAAGCGAAAACAATTCGTGCATTGTTCCGACAGTTAAATGTGTAGCCAGCAGCGGTGGCAGCGGCATCAGCATCGGAGTCAAACAATGGGCCAAAGATTGAATTGAATCCGGTAAATCCTCTCCGGTAAACGAAAGATGGATTAGGTTTTATGGCAAAGTGTCAGTGTGTTCCAAAATAGCCAAGCATAAATGAAATTATGAATGGGAGGGTGTGAATGATTGGATTCAACAATAGCCTTTTATGACAATCCATTCATTTGTTCTATTTTCGCTTTCTCTCTGCATCGGCTACGAGAATACCGTTTGTTTGCTCTCTAATCCGTTTTCGATAAATGTTTGACATTTCCCATTTTGGCTTTATGTTTGTATTCTGACTTGAGGCACCTCATTCGGATTGCGCGTGCCAGATTTGTTCTAATTCAATTTGAATACTTTCCATTAATGCTCACCCACCAAAAGTATGCGCACACAGTAAAACGAGAGCGACAGCCCGTTGACACTTTTTTTTGCTCGGTGCCGTCGCTCATTTTGTTGTTGTTGTTGTTGATTTATGACCGACATTTCAATGTCTTCTTGTTTTGATGAAACACTTTTTCACGTGTTAGCCGCGAAGCGCCATCGTAACCATTTCATCAAAAGACAAAACGTATGCTGGCCGCACATGGTTATGTGCGATGGCACAGTAAGCAAATGACAAACATAAGTAGATTAAATATATGATACGTGAATAGTTTGAGTGGAACAACAACAGCCACAGAATCGGTAGCAGTAACGGCGGCAGCAGCAATGACAAGAACTCGACAAAAAAAAAAGAAAGAAATTCTGAAATAGAACTTGTTTGAAAATCTTTCTCGAGGGTCTACATGTGTATCTTTCACTTGCAGTAGCAAACAAACAACTCTCATTGCCACCAAATACGAAAAACCAAACGTATATGTAAATCGAGTGCGGCCACAACAACGGCGGCGACACTGAAATTGAATCGGCCCCGAGTGCGGATAAAAAAAAAGTCGTACACATAACCGCATTCTCTCCGTTGCTCTCTCTTGTTATTTGTTATTGCGTTCGTCAATTTGCTTATTGTATTGCTCTCCCCATTTGCCTGTTTTTTTTTTCTCTTCTGTTCAATCCAATCCTATTTGGATACTTTATCGAAAACGAGAGACAAAGTCGACGTCGGGATGGGATTCATTCGGAAATTTACACACAGCGAAACGAGTCTTCGGCACTCACTTATTAAAATGTGAAGTGAAATGACGAAGAAAAGAATTTCCGACCAAAGAGAAGAGAACTGGATTAATATTATTACCAGCAATAAACCGTGTAATTTAGTCGAATGTGCTATTTCTTTCTCTCTCTCTCTCTCTCTCTCTCTCTCTCTCTCTCTCTCTCTCTCTCTTTCTCTCCACGATGAAAAATAATAAAAATTTTAGTTTCAAAACATTATCTACATACATTGTTGCCGGTTGATGCTGGTGCTTCTATCGTTCTTTCTGCTATCATCTCTATCGGTAGCCTTGTTTTGTGGTCAGCGCACATCATCGCAAAGACACCAAAACGGGAGAGTGAAAGAGGGAATGGGGGACAGAGCGAATTAAAACAAATAGAATGCGATGTCTATATGATAGCTATTTAAAAATAGAAAACCCATCTTTGAAATGTGTAACGTAACACATACCCGAGTTTCAGTCACTCGAACGTGTGTTTGTCGACAAATTGAAGAAATATGCTTCCATGTTTTATTTCGACATTGATCGAATCGAATATAATTCTCGCAAAGTTCTTGTCCATGTATGAATTATAAAAATCGCGTGAGATTTTAATTGAAAAACACTCAATGGATGGATAAAAAAAGTGTTTGTTTTTTTTTCTCTTCGTCTTGAGAAATAAGCATTTGTTTCCATCGGCAGATAAATTATTTGATTGAAACGGAATCCCAATTTTGACCGTTCGAGAAAAGAACCTTTCGTTTTAAAATGTCTTGACAAGAGGAGATACTGTTCTGATTTCTTTCTTCTCCGTTATAAGAACAATTTCGAATCCACTTCACCTTTCTTTCTTTCGTTCTGTTTCGTTTTGATTGCGAAAAGACAAAATACACGAGCGAGCGCCGCATACACACATCATAATTTTAACAGTAAAACTTCTTCTTAATTTCATCGATTTAACGCACGCAGCCACAACGGACGGGCTTAAGAGTTATTTCAACAATGACAGCGATTTGATGATACCGTAAGCACGTACGCAACAGTAGTGTGTACGCTCATTCATATATGCTCTTTCGCGCTCAGATTCTGGATCACAGCGCGCGAGAGAGAGAGAGAGAGAGAGAGAGAGTGCCAGAAAAAAAAACGAAAAGACAAACGAGATCTTTTTTTTTGTTATTTCGGCGAAGAGCGAGAAAAGGGCGTAAGACAGAGAGAATGTGAATATTATTTTAATATTGACAATTAACTGTGGTGTAATGTAATTATGCAGATGATTTGCGCTGCTGAGTGTGTGTGTGTGCGTGATCGTCATTTTGATATGAGCGCCACTAATGTGTCTTTCATCCGCATTTAGTCATACGTATATGCCTAATTTGACGGGTTGAGACATAAAATGAGCCACGATATGATCACTTTTCGTGCAACTGTAACCAGCGTAATGATTCTTTTTTCTTCGGCTCCCTGATAAAGTGACACTGATATAGGTTCCGTTGCGATGGCGGCGGCTGCTGTTGCTGACATCTTCATAATTTGTTCCATTCACCGGCATGACACATACAGTCATGCCCCAGAACCAATTAGCCACACTTTTTTGACTTGTACATTCGAATTGCGAGACCACTTTTTGTTTCCCGTCAAAAATCCTTTTTGGCATTTCTGATCTGAATTTCATTATTATTATTATGCTTCCTTCCGCAATTTACCGTGCAGTGATTTGCGGTTGAAACGAGTTCACATTCTTTCATCTGTTTGTTTTCGAGTAAACAAATGTGAAAGAAATTATAATTTCTGTTGAACTAATGGCATTTTCATCTTTTTTCTCATTAAACAGGTCCACAATGACAGCGTTTATGCCACGAGGAACGCGATGGCTTGAGATCGGAGCGATTCTTGCTTTATTTCTAGTTATTCATGTAACAGCTAACGAAACGGGTAAGCTTGATTTTTGTCTTTCTTTGTTTTTGTTTTATTGATAACATCCGATATCGCATTCCAGTTGATTTCAACAGAAATTTTGCGTTTGTGTGATTTTTTCTTCTTTTTATTTTATACAAATCTGTATTTGCATTTTAAATTCGGTTAACGGAACTGATGATATTATAAAATGCAAATTGCGAAAAGTCGTTTGAATTAATGCTGATTTTTCACGGTGAAGGTGACCGAGTGAATGCGCTGGCGCGCGAGAAAAAGAGATTTCAGTTGATTAAAGATCATAAATGTCGAATGAGTTTTTGAATTGGTACACTCTGTATGGAGGAAGAGAGAGAGAAAGAGAAGTTTTTCGTTGGAAAAGCGCGATTTACAATAAATTCTCATGACGATTATTTATGGATGCTATTGTGAATGGCGTAAATTACAGAAATGCATAAATTATGGAATATATTGAAAGCTTTTTTAATCCGTTTAGGAGCTAAGCGCTTTGTAAGTATGTGTGAGCATGCGAGTGTGCGAGAAAATAAAAACATCAGCATCGGCTAGCGCGTTTGATGGCATATAATAAAGATATTTATGATTTAAAATTCGCAAATCGTCGGCTCTTCATCGTGCACCAAATACACTTATTCGCATGGATTCTAATTTTTTTCGTTCGTTAAATATCCGAGCCTTGATTTTCTTTACGCATTTCGCAGGATAGAGCACAAAAAAGAGTAGGAAAAAAAACAAACGCAAACATAATGCTCCCTTAAACAACAATTTTAAATTTCATCAGTTTATTTATATCGATTTTATATTCGTTTTCAATGCAATTTGTTTCTCTTTTTTTTCTCGCATTATTCCTTCTTATATATTTATATTTAATTTTCTCATCTCCTTTTGCAGATTTAGCTACAACCGGCGATTGCTATTACAACTATAATCATTATAGCGAAGGCGATCGCATCCTAACAAATGAACCATGTTTAAATTGTACATGCCATAATAAAATGCTAATGTGCTACCTGAAGGTATGCCCGTTTACGAAGCCGATTGGCCAAGATTGTACGATTGAAAAACGCGAAGATCAATGCTGTCCAATTATTACGTGCCCAGAAGGTAAATATACCACGCAATGATACGAATGAACAAAAACAAAAACAAAAAAAAAATAGGCGCAACAAATATAATAAAGAGATTTTTTGTTGTGCAAAGGGAAAGAAAAACATATACTCACACACAACCGCACTCAACAAATCACTAGCATTTTTAATTGCATTCGCTTGAACGAACTGATTAAATAAAAGTTTTTCCCTTTATTTTTCTTAACGAATTTGTTTCTCTTCTTGTTTTGAATGCCATTAGTACCAGTCGAACTCGACCATAGTTCAGCGACGACGACCGACTTAGCAACGCACCAGAATCATGGATGTTCAATCGATGATGAATTCTATCCAGAAGGAGCTCAGGTACACTATCACCGGTTTTTTTTCCTTCTTCTTACATTGGAAATTCTTTGAAATCTCATGCTCTATCTCAAAGCAAAGCGAGAAACAAATAAGAACGAGTGGGAAAAAAGTCACGAAGGACTTTTTCTTTATTCATTAACAATTTCATTGATTTGCTTAACTAATGAATTTACAGATTCCTGGAAATCCAAAGAAACCATGTGAATTGTGCTATTGCATACGGAATATGACGTCGTGTGTAATGCAAGAGTGTACATTGCACGTTGATGGATGCCGACCAATTTACAACAAAGGCGTCTGCTGTCCAGTTCGTTACGATTGCGGTAAATTATCAAATGCGTTTTTAATGCTTTGTAATGAATTCGGTTTCTTTTTTTATTATTGTTTGTGCTGATGCTGCGGTTACTCTCGATGCACCGTAGTCAAAAGCAATCAAATTTTCATCAATTCCGTCTCTATACTAACTACTCTTGATTAGTATTCTTCTTTTTTTCTCAATTCAAATGTATAAGTTTATGCTCTTTTTTTTCTTTGTATCATCTACAAAATGAACAGCTCATGATGATGATTTGCCATTAATGCTGGAAGATCAAACGACCACGGAAGCGCCATCACAAGGATTTATCATTACAACAACCAGTGCACCGGTTCCATCAACCGACTGTTATCACAACGAAGTTAGCTATTCGGATGGTGAAAATATTGATACCGATCAACCATGTGAACATTGCTACTGTATGCGAGGCGATATTGTGTGCGCGGTTCAAGAATGCAAACCATTGGAAATGCACGGCAAAAATTGTACGGCAAAAATTCCAGGCCCTGGCGAATGTTGCCCACAAGTTTATGAATGTGAAAGTGATTTGAAATCAACAACGCTGGCTGCTGAAATCGATGAACTATCGGCTACTACATTGGGATACAAGGGTGATGCTGCTGAACCAATTTTGACAACGACTCAAGCCGCTGCTGTCCCAGCCTCATCATCGGAACAACTCGAAAAGGATGCATTTACGACAGAAGGAGCCATTGCCGATACTACCTCGCAACGTATTGACGAATCAGAGAATGAAATTCATGACAAAGACTACGATCACATGACTGTTAAGCCATCACGAAGCAATTTCACCGCACCGCAACAATCAGATGCAGTCAACGACCGTATCGAAGGTGAAGAGAGCACTACGTTGCTTAGCAAATTGGATGAAGGGGCAGCAACAACGATTTTGGCTGAATCAGGTCCAGCTAGCGACGAACAAATCACAACCGTTTCACCAATCGCCGGTCAACCAGAGTCTGCCGAAAAGGATGCCACCGAAAGCGAAGGAATTTTGAGCAATTTATACACAACCATCAAATCGATTGTTGAATTTACCACGACTTTGAGCCCAATTCAAGAGAAACCGCACAAACAGCACGATGAAGAAGAATTTTTATCGAATGTCATTCCGGGTGAAGGCGATTGTTTGGATAATGGTGTCAGTTATGCCAACAACACAAATGTGCCAACGAGAAGCGTTTGCGAAGAGTCATGCTTGTGCCACAACAGCATCGTTCGATGTGAAAGTGTGAAATGCGCTCCAATGCCACCAAATGCTGAAAACTGTAGAATTATGCACGAAGAAGGTTTGTGCTGTCCAAGCTATCACTGCGAAAGCATGGAATTTAGCACCGGAACACCAGCAACGCATCCAGCCGAAAGTCAAGTCGTTCATCTCGATGAACAACAACCACAAGTCGATAGCACCACTTTGGCTCAACAATTGGAAACTGAAGAGGAGCACACCAATGCCATTGATAGCAAACTTGACAGCACAACAATTCAATCGGCTAAAGCTCCAATTTCAAGCAAATTGGACGATACACTGGAAATGAAACCAGAGGCAACGACTGAAACCGAATTGGCTAAGGAAACAAATGCACCGGAAATTGAAAGCTCGACAGCGGCAAAGGAACACGATGAAATTCCAAGCATTGTTGAGGATAAATTCGAGGCCGCACCAGCACAAACTGAACAGCCTGAACCACCAGCTGTAGATGAAATCGCTACGGAAGCTGCACCATCGAAATATGAACCAGAAAGCACTACATTGTACGATGCTGGTAAAGAACAAGACCAAAAAGTTGAACAACAACCAGGAATTGCTCAACCAACCACCGAAAAGGCAGCTGAATTGCCAGAAGAAAGTGCAACCACTCAATTGTCAGAAGAGAAATTACACGATGAAAGCGCTGCAGCCACAACACAAGCTCCATCAGCACAAGCCGAAGAAGGATTGACTCCAACAACACAAAAAGTACAGCAAGACGCCGAAATTTCTACTGAAAGTCAAAAGGAAAGCGAAATTTCAACTGAATTACAGCCAGCTGCTCAACCAATTGCTCACGCTGAACAAAAACCAGAAGAAATTGCTACAACCGAAACACCATTCACACAGCAACAAGAAGAAATTGTAACGGAAGCACATCATGAACCTGAAATTTCGACCGAGCAACAAAAGCAAAGTGAAATCTCTACTGAAGGACAAAAAGAAAGTGAAATCTCGACCGAATCAAAACCAGGCGCACAACCGGCAATCCAACCGGCTCAAGACGAATACGTCACAACTGAAGCTCCATTAATCGAAAAGACGCAAGAAGACAGTGAAATTTCCACCGAACCGCAGCCAGGCGCTCAACCTGAATTGCAAAATCGCGATGAAATCATCACAACTGAGGGATCAATTGTGCAAAAGGCCCAAGCGGAGATTCAAACGCAACAACCTGAAGTCCAAAGTCAAGATGATCACTTCACAACTGAGAAATTGGAACCAGCTCAAGAGCCATCATCAACTGAACAAGCCTCTAAATTGCCCGAAGAACAATCGACTGAACAAGGTGCTGAATTGCCAGAAGGGCCATCATTCGAGCAAGCGACAACCGAAAAATTGGCCGAACAGCCAGAAGCTGAGGCCACAACTGTTCGCACGGCCGAAACAGAGCGACCAATGAAATTGGCCGATGAAGTTTTGAGCACGGAGAGACAAGCCGAAGAACAGGCAACCGAAAACTTGATTCCAGACTCAAGCACCGATAGTCACATTGACCAACATGCCGAGATTTCAACGGAAAAACACATTGAACCCGTTGAAAAATTCGAAGGTGAGCAAATTACCACTGAAAAAGCTGCTGCTCCAGATGCAACTACACAGCTATATGTTGAGCAAAAACCAAGCGAAGAAAGTTTGCCACAAACAACATTGGCCACCGATTCGAAACAATCTGATGAAACACAACAAAAGGGCGAAGAAGAATTAGCACAAACAACAACCGCTCCAAAGCCAAGCATTCAAGAAGCCGATGCCACCGAAAGATTGCCAGAATTTAATGAGATTTCAAGCGAACACATCCCATTAGAAATTGAAGATCACAAGACCGAAAATGATGTTTTCGCCGCACCAGCAACCGAATCACAACCTACGGCCACTGAACAACAGCCAGAAACTGTCGAACATAAAGATGAACATGTTACTGAAGGCGTAAGCTCATCGGAATACACTCCGTCCGAACAATCGGAAATTAAACCGGAAATTCCAAGCACCGAACAAGCCCATGAAGTCAAACCGGAAGAAGTGTCAACTGAACAGGCATCAGAAGAATCAACCACATTGGCGACATCAAAATTGACCATCAACGGTATCAGTCCGAATGAATTCAAGGATGGTGAAATTGTAAGTCAAGATGAGAAACAAGAATTGGATTTGGTTGAACCAACAACGACTGAAAAATTGGCCGATGAAGCTTCAAGCGCCACGGAAGCTGCTCAACAACCGGAAATTGTTCAACAACCTGCAATCTCTGAACAAAAACCAGAACAACCACACGAGGTGCAACCACAACAGCCGGAATTGACGTCATCTGAAGATGCTAAGGAATCAATTGCCACTGAACAACCGGCTCCTGAGCAACCAGCAACCGAACAACCGGCAATTATTCCATCGCGTGATGAACAAATAACCGAAGGCCCAGCTATGTCAGAAGAAAAGGAACAACCAACCACTGAAAAGATTGCAGAGGAAAAAGAACAGGCCGTAACGGAAAAGCAAGCCGAAGCCACGACAATTTATTCGTTCCCATCGAAACAAGAAGATCTTGAAATTATCACCGAAAATGTTGTTCCATCGAAGCAAGAAGATTTGGATATTGTTACATCACACGAAGAAAAAGAAGCTACAACTGCTTATCCTGCATATAGTGGACCATCAACCGCATACCCAGAACATCATGATCTTGATACAAAGTTCGGTACGGCAACAAATGCACCAACAGCATTGGAACCATCGACACAAGCGCCAAGCGAAGAGGCAACCACTCTTGGCAAAGTGAGTGAAGAGCAACCAATCCAACCTGCATTCGATGATTTGTTCCCAGACCAACACATTCCACCTGCTGCCACTGAAAAACAACACATCGAACAGGCCACACCAAGCATTGAACAGAGCGAACAAACGACATTCGGTATTTTGACTGAAGACAAATCGACTGAACCTACTGAAATCAAACAAGAAGTGCCAATGCCGACCGAAGCACCAGCACCACGACCAGAACTTGAATCGGGAAGCCAAATGCATATCGCTGATGACGAACAACCACAACCAGAATCACCAGTTACCACAGAAGCAGCAAAACAAGAGGAACCAGCCGCTACAACAACGGCCAGTGTTGCTCCAGCTGAAAATGTCAATCGAATTGATGAAGAACAAACCGGTGACAAACAAGAGGAACCACAACAACCGATCACAGAAAGTCATAGCGAAATCGCAAAAGAAGAAGAAGCTCCAAAAGAGGAAGACGATTCAAAGAAAAAACAACCGGTTCAACAGGAAGAACAACATGAACCAGCTCAACGCATTCCATTGGCAACGACCGAACCAACAATCGTCGATGTTACAACGCTTTTGAACAAAATCCATGATGAATTCCATCCAAATGCTGATGAAGTGACTACACAAAGACAAGAACAACCTGAATTGCCTGCACAAACGGAAAAAGCTGAAGTGACACAAGCTCCACAGCAACCATCACAGTCGGATGAATTGCCAGAACAGCCACAACAACAAACCGAACAGCCATTGGAACAACAGCAAACGGAGCAGCCATTAGATCAACCACAAGAGCAATCACAAGAGCACACCGAACAGCCTCAAGAGCAGCCAGAAAGTACTTCGGCCCCTGTGCAACACGATGAAAAGCCAGAATCAAAACCAATTGAAGAAGCTGTAACCACTGAGCAGCCTGCTTTGTCAGGCGAAAGTGAAGCAACAACACAGCAAGGAGTGCAACAACCTGCTCAACTTGACGAGAAATTGGAAGGTTCAACAGCAGCACCAGTTGCGCCAAAACAGCCATTGGACCAGACCGAACGAATCCAAGAAATTCCAGCTGAAGGTACAACTCATCAACCAGAAAATGAAACACCAATAGTTGTCTTGGCACCAATAATGCCAGTCCAAAATCAATCCGATCTCGTTGAGCCGACACAAGAGCAATTCAGCACCGATGCTCCAGCTTTGACACAAGAACAAACGACCCAACAACAACAAGAAATGGAAAAAGTCACTGAATCACACGAATTGTCAAAGGGCGACGGTGAAGTCACAACTCAAAAGGATGAATCGATTGAACAACAGCCAACTGAAGGCAGTGCACCAAAAATTCCAGTTGAAAGCAGTAGTCAAGAAGGTGAAATTGCTCCAATTGTCCCAGAAACCACTGCATACGAACAAGAAGCCATTGCAACTAGTACCAGTGAACCAGTCAAATCAACTGAATCAAGCAAACCATCGATTATTGCTCACGATGAATTGCCAGCAGCCGAAGTAACAACACAGCGCATTGAAAGCGGTGCTGGCCAAGAAGAGGAACAATCATCGACCAAACCATCAATTTTGGATGGAACAACAATCAAGAGTGTTGTCGAATTGATCACAACATTGCATCCAATTGTTCAACAAGAGCCCGAAGTGACAACAATCGCACAAGCGGCTGAACAACAACCATCAAGTGAACAGCCAATTTCAAGCGAAAAACCAATTTATAATCGTGTCGATGCGGAAAGTTCATCAACAGCCGAACCCGAATATCATACAACTGAATCGGCGATCTTTGAAAATAAAACAAGCCCAGAACAAACACATGTGTATGCATCACCGCCCGAATCAGCGAATAATATTCCATTGATTCGTGAGCCAACATTGAGTGAGATTACGACGAAACTTGCCGAAAGCTTTGACACAACAACATTGCCATCAATTCTATTTACAAGTAGCCATACAGAACGAATTAGTGATAGTACAACGAATAAGAATACTCAAACTGAGATTACGGAACCGACGCTGCAGCACAGTGACGGTGAACAGACAGCCGCCGCTGGTCCACAACAGCATGAACAAGACGTACAACAGCCATCGTATCCACCGTCATTCGATGGCGGATACGGAAGTGTGCCATCACAATATCCAGATGAAGAATACACCGACGAAGAGGAGCCGGCCGTGTTCGGTCCGGGTACATGCCGTTACGGTGGCAAATTATATGTATCAGCTCAACAAATTCCACGAGACGATCCATGCGATTTCTGTTTCTGTTTCCGCAGCGACATTATTTGTCTGCAACAATCTTGCCCGCCTCCAATCAATGGCTGTCACGAAGAACCAATCCAAGGATTCTGCTGTCCACGATACGAGTGCCCCGTGTCAATGGGACTCGTGCTCAACACAACGACCACAACAACAACCACATTACCACCATATTTGTCACATTTCCAACGGAATAGTGCCAAAGTCACGCGAAGCGGTTGCCAAATCCAAGGTATTACATACAAAATTGGCGAACGAGTTACAACCGCCAGCGGACCATGCATCGATTGC